AATGCCAACACGATTTAAATTTTTGGCTGTCATCTTCATTAACAGAGTTGGATGAACGTTTCGCATGAAGCAAATTAACAAATCACACCAACATAAAAAAAGTTTATTACTAATCTAGAATAAAAATGTTTAACGATTCGGTATACGTAAACAGTTTATATGGACCAGTCCGTGCAGAACGTATATTTAATCTAAAACTGAGTACATATTGAATGATGTGAGTCAACAAGTGGTAAAAAATCAACAAATATCGAACAAAAGTAGAGAGTAAAGTACTAAAGAAATAATTAAATTCAAGTAAAATATAATTTTCACTACACTGTTTCTTTATCATTGCACCCTGCTGTGTGCTTAGCCTAAGGATAAGCAAATATAAAGCACATGACCTTACACTCCTCTCAAAAATATGACTCAACCATAAATTATCAATTCAGCATTGTGATTACATGTGAAATTCTAAGAGTAGCAACAGTCTTTTTTAAAAGATTCTCCACTTGACACTAGTTTATTATGCGCTTGACCACAATCCTTTAAAAGCATTTATTACTAACTTTATTTTTTTTTTAGGTTTAACAGCATTTACTTACTTACTTATGCAACCAAATTCATAAAAATCACGGTAATAAAAGTCACTGCCAACATTCAACGTAATCTAAGCTGCTGCTCGTGGCAGCATGCAGCCGCTTTTGCCTTTTACCGGGCAAATAAAAATATGAAAACCGCAAAAAAAATATGCCCCAACCAATTCGACAATATTATGACAACCTCATAAATCCCACGCAGATCATTTATCGTACACTTAATGATGGCTTAAATTGCCGCTCATAAATTACCAATATCTCAAAGCTTGTATCGATTTGTAAATCCCAATGATAAACACAGCATGAAATGTGAGCCATGCGGGCCAAAGCGGCTGAACGAATGGTGGAGAACTGTGGCGCAAAGTAAAATGGCTGAAAAAGGTACGCGAAAAGGAAAAGTAAGCATAAAAATAAAAATAAAAATAAAAAAGGTAATAAAAAACAGAATAAAATTTGTTTTGAGGCGCGTTCACAAGTAACGGCAGTGAAAGCCTAGAAAATAGCGCTATTATGGCTTTGAAATGTGCGTGCGAAGAGCGGGGAGCGGTAAAATAAGATGTTACAAGTGCGTCGTTAGAAAGGGAAGCTGTTGTCGGTGAGGTAAATTTGTATTTATGAATACTTTAAAACATCTACGCACGCACTTTAACGGCCATTGACTGCTGTCGACAGCGGCATGGCTGAGTGGGTGATCTATGGACCGGCTCCAAAACACCAGTCAACTTGTTTATTTGCGTAAATCCTTAAAAATCGTTAAAACAATAAAAGGGATCAACTAACTGAAATCCAGCAAAGCCCATAACTCATTCAAGCGTATTAACCAAAACAAATATTCACTAACGGACTGACTGACTGACTACCCGACGGGTTTGTAAAACCACTGTGAAGTTGAGTAGTTGAGCATTTGAGGGTGCGAGGGTTCGAAAAGCGGAGCGGACGCTGCGGCCACCAACTGGGTTAAATGCTTAAGCAAACAAGCGGCGGACAGCAATAAAGGCAAATTGCTGTGGTGTCCGCAAAACCGAGTTGCAAGGAAGCTCAAGATTTAAAGTAGCATTAAAAGCAACAACAACAGCAGCAAACGTCAGTTGGAGGGAGCAAGCAGTTATAGAAGAGGAAATGGCAAAATGTGGCTGGCGGTTGAGCGCTCATTGCCAAAACTCTTTCGTTTCTTTGATTTTCGCATAGCAAAATATACTTCAATGCAAATAAACGAGCATCTGCTTTTGTTATTGTAACAACAACAACAACTACAACAGTAGTAGTGTACAATGTGTACACATGTTGACGCCTTGCAGACCAAACAAAAGCACTGAAGCATTAACATAAACATTCGGAAATAGCCAGCAACTAAATATGTAAGCAAATACTTGTGAGTAAATAAAAGCGAGCTAAAACAATGCAAATACCAACCAAGTAAAATAAGAAAGCAACACAAAACAAATATGGAAAAAGCGCAAAAAATAGGACAAATCAAGTGGAAGACCAAAGTTAAGGAAACTTAGCATACTTGTAGGAGCCAAAGAACTCTCGAGTGGAATAAGGCGAAATCAATGTTGGTTTCTAACAAGTTGATGAGTAAATTTTCTCTGGTTAAATACAAATAAAACTTACTGCGAACGACTGCTGTGACACAACGGTAGAGCGACGAGGGATAAAAGTTATATATAAGTAAATAGTATTTAGACCGAAAGCAACTTGATCTTTAAAATGTTACTTCCAGCGACTCAATTTGCTGTGAGAGCATAGTAAAACTGACTGTCAAGACGTGCAATAAAAGAAAACTGCTTTTCGACGAAGTAGCCCCCGGGCCTTATGGAATTTAATTGCAACGACTCAAGTTGCTATAACAGTACAGTTAAAGTGACTTTCATAACTAGGGATAACAGTTAAAATTATAACAATTAGAAACAATCATTTAAGTATATCCGACAAAACATAAATTTTTGATTTGCACCTAAAAGCAAACACCTGACATCAGCATGGGGTATCAACCCTCAGATTGCCGTTATATGACAGCCGATAAAAATGGCTGCTGTCAGATGAGAGTCACATGAAGCAAAATGGTTGGCGTCATACACCTTCTGTCAGACTGCTGCCTTCAACTTCACAATCTCCTAATCCTAATGTCAAAACACTGCTGTCAGATAACGTCTGTCAGACTCCTGTCTTCAACTTCACAATTTCTAACCAACTAAAGGTATCAAAATTTTACGACACGTAACCTAGTTTTTCTTATATTGACATAATGAACTCCAACTTTTCACGGAGAATTACAATAGTAGATATAGTAGAAGGTATATAAAAAATTTTAAACCCACTATTTCCTACCAACGACCATTTCAACTAATTTTATAATTAGCTTAATCGTTTATTCTCCGGAATTAATTATTCAATAAGAACACATTTAGCGAAAATCAATTTCATACCCACGCATCCTGCTCGATTTTCCAATTAAAATAATTCCCTCATTTTGCTGAGTATTTCACAAAAGTTTCAGTAACGCCGACCAATTTACAGGAAGCTCATTAATTAGCAGAGAATTGTTTAATTGCTTAATCATTGACACGCGTAAATGGCGGCATTAATAAATGTAATGCTGAATTACAACATAAATATTCAAAGACTTCATTTTGTTATGCAACTTGAAGACTTACATACCCATACTTGAGTGAATGCTTAAGCAAACATTTGCATAGAAGATCATCAATCGCGCGTCAAAACAGCAGTTGCAAGTCAAGTAAATAATATTCCTTAATGCGCACTTGTCACAAAGTCAATGAATGACGCCCCCCCATGCTCACACCAAACGCCCCATCCCTTAGCTGAGGCCCCACTGTCGCAGCTCCATTTGATAAATATACTTTGAGCACAATAAAAGTTTTGACATTCCATGGTTAATCAGTGAAGCGGAAAGCTAACGGCAAAACGGAAATTATTGTTCGTCATGTAGTTGTTGTACTTTTTATTGACGACATTGTACAATATATCAAAAACATTTCAACTATCAAAGCAGGAATATAATAAATTGAAATGCGCATTAGAAGTCTTCACTTCTTAACTTCGGCGAAGAAGACAAAGCACTCAAGCCGGAAGGCAGGTCAGTAGGGGGGATTGAGGGCAATACAAAAGCACTGCGACCGCCTGTGGAGTGTGAAGGTGCCGTGCGCGAGGTGTGGCCACAACAGTAAAGATAAATGAGCGAATAAGAAATAAGCAAATTGTTGTTAAGTCATTTGTCAGATTTGTTTAAATGTCACTTAAGTGAGGGCAATAAACGAAATGAGCAATTGGTGCGCTGGGACAAGGTTTTCAACATTATGTTACTTGTAAGTATTTTTTGGTAGCGTTTGGAATTTTCGGTGAATTGACATGGATAATTAGTGGTGATTTGACGTTGGGGGAGGGCTAAATCTTACACAACATTAGTTAGAGCGAAGTGAGCTTACGCTGGTGAAGAGAAATACTAATGATAATGGACTTGAGCAAACTAATGGGATTAAAGTGAAGATTTGCAATAGATGAGTCAGATATAAATCCTAATTTGATACATGGTGTAGATAAATTTATAAGTTATGGGTATATGATACGTTGAAGATCAGTATTTAAATTAGCTATCTCACACCACTTCCTCTCCTTCCCTCTCTCTATCACCCTATCACTATCTCCCTTTATCTCTGTAATATTATCTTCCTCTCTTTCTCTCTCTCACCGTTTACGTTCCTTATAACTGTCGCTCTCTTTCTATCGAACACACTTTCTGTTCCTCTCTTTTTCTGGCTCACTTTCTCGCTCATGACCTCTCTCTTACTCTTTCTCCCCCTTCTATATTTTTTTCCTTTAACTCTTTCTCTCTCCCGTTCAGTCATCCCCTCTTCACTTTTCTATCTCTCTCTCCCTATTTCTCTTACAGCTTCTTTCACCTTCTTGTCAGAAAAATCATTGCTCTATCTACTTCTCTCTTTCTCTCTCCCTCTCTCTGCTCCCACACTCTCTCTCACAATTCCTCTCTCAGCTCCAACCTCTGGGAGAAATATCAGAAAGATCGCTGCTCTTTCCTCCTCCCTTCTTCACTCTTTTTCCGCTCTTTCCCTCTCTCATTCTCTCTCAACTACTCTCTCTTCTCTCTTGCTGTAAGATCAAGGGTAAAATTTATAAACCTTTCGTTAGTTACACTTGGTTCGAAAGAAACGACAATGAATGAAATAAAATTAATTTACAAATTCGCACACCTTTAATTGCTAAATTTTATGGAAGGCACTATTTAATAAATAAACTCTCAAATGCAATCCAAAAATTCTGCCCAAGTGTGTACGATATCAAATAACGGATCAGCATAAACTTATTAAAAAAGTGTCAAAAACAATTTTCGCAAGACCCAACAAGAGCAAAAAAAAAGCAAGACAAACCTCAAAACCTACAAACAGAAATAAATACAAACAACGTTGTGTGCCAAACGGCAGTGACTAAACGGAGAGGAACGGCGAAGAAACTCAGCCAAAATACAAATTGTAAAGTTTTGCCTATAAAATGTCAAAACGTCAAAAGAAGCTGCCAAAAAAATCTGCGGTAAAACTTCGCCTCCGCCACTTTTTCTGCAGGCGAAATCAATAAGCGACAAATTACGAGACCACAAGAGGCCGAATAAAAAACGAGAAAAGCGCAAATAAGATTGTAAGCCAGCAAAAAGCAACGGAGAACGGCGAAACTGTGAACTGAGAAGTTTTGCGGGCTGTAATGCGGCGCCTGTCCCTCGGGACCAACAAGGCAGTTCAACTTTCTGGTCAGAAAATTTAAAACCGACGAATCATTTTTATTTCACTTAATTCTTCTTCTTTTTATTTTTTTTTTTTTATTGCAAGTCCATTTTATTTTCTTTAATTGGAAAGAGCATAAAAAATGTATGCAGGAAAGCCAAACAATGTTTGTCGGCAAAAGCTACATGCAAAGCAGCAAGAAGAAGATGCGCTAGCAAGCCTGGTCCGCAGTCCAACCGGGCGGAGCGGAGGCGCAAACAAAGCAAAGTGACAGCAACAAGTTGAATTGCCAACAATTACCATTTAAATTGAGATTTAAAGTTGATTTGCCTGAAACAGTGGGCGGCAAATTGTTCGGGATGGACTACAAGAACAAAAACAAAAACAAGAAATATTTGTCGAGACGGAAATGTAAGCAGAAATGATGAGCAAGAGAAACAAAAGTTTGCGCAAAGTTTAAATCTCGTTGGCAGTAAATAGGAAGACCAGCGTGTGAAAGTTGTAAAAGACTTAAATGAAGACAAAGATGTCAGCATTTGGAAAGAAATGGGTTTATTTACAGGGAAAACGAAATATTTATTGAATAAACAGTTCCAGGAATTGAAAAATAATGGAATTTTTTTTTGGAGTCAGTGTTCAAGAAAAATTAGTATTTTTATGGAACTCACAGTCAGACTTCACGAGTTCAGAGTTTCCATTGATCGCTGATTGATTTCAATGATGAGGCGGAGATATTCGTAGTTCGACGTTGAGCTTCGCCATCGAGAACTTGCTTTTAAAATATTAAAGAAAAAGTTTACTTATCTACAGTTCTTGAACTAAATATGCTTGGGTTTCAAGTATCTGGTTACAAGTGTAAGTTAAGTACACAATCTAATTGCAATACGTCAACATGCTAATGCATCGAAAACCCAATTCAAGAGGTTCAGTCCGTTTAAGTTTAAAAAAAGTTGGGTTATAAGCAGCTGACTACTAGCCAACAATACAGTACCTATAAATATCTCACCAAATCGATAACTTTTGGACTTATATATCTATGTATGATCAGCACCTCATTATAATAAATGAATGAAGTTGTCAGAGGAGGGGAAGCAGGCTTCTAAAAATGCTGGTTACAATCCCAGTAATGAAACTTTTTTGATTAGGTTTTAGCGCCGAATAAATGCGAGCTCCGAAGATCTCAAGAAAAAGTGCCAATGTAATTTAACAGAGCCTAAGTCCAAGGCACCTAAAACCAAGTATAATTTGTTAATCGCATTAACTGCGCTGAGCTATGCAACCTACTGACGAGTCTTCACTTCAAAATAACAACACAGATGTCTCGAGTAAAGTAAAGCAGCTCAACGCAATCAGACTAAAATTTTAGAAACGTTTTCTAATTATGTTGAATATCAGAGTAGCGGAACACGTCTCTTTCCATCATCCCATCCACAAGTTTTAGAAGACTGTTTGAAATAAGTTCCTTGAATTTGGATATTGTGCGCTCGTATCTAGTCGCAGGTCAATAATAAGTAGGTAACAGGGTAGCTGATTTGAAAAAAGTTCGTGGATGACTTTTCATAGTTAAGGAAAGTTCAAAAGAAGTGCTATTAAACAAATGTTCCAAAAAGATAATAATAAGAAGAGTTGGAGCATATTATTTATACGTTTCCTTTGAGAACTTGCATAATACAATAATTTGAAATTTCTCAGTCAGTTATCAGTTTGAAAGTTTCATAAACGGACACACTTTCGTCATAAAACAGAACCCCTTTGTTGAAATTTTCTGCAAATGCATTGCCTTGCAAACCTTACACTATGTTTCATTTCTCGGTAGTCAAAACAGAGCAGCTGTCGTTTTAACCTTAACCTTTACAAGGAAGTGAAAAAATAACGGCAAAAGCATTGCAACGTGCTGGGGCGCCGGACAATTCGTGCAGCATGCGCATTTACAGCTACAAAACAAAACGCGAATATTCACGCACAGATCGTAAACTTAGCGAACCCCTCCAAACTAAACGCTCAACGACGAAATTGCTTAGCACAGATTTGCGCACGCAATCCCAAGAATAGTCAAGAATAAAAGGGGTCCCTCGTGTAAAATTCTAAAGCGTGATTTGCAAGCTACGTGTTATTGCGCGCCGTCCCGCCTGTGTTGCAGCGTCGCCAACTAACCAAAACGCTGTGAAAATACACGCTTGTATTGCGCGGGTTGAGGCGGCAACGACTGGTGTTCTTGGAAGGGCTGCGAGAGCGAGCGCTGGTCAATTGTCGGTTTGAAGTACAACAACGAGCGGGCAAATCAAGCAATTTGCGTCCCTTTACACAGACGGCACGTACAATTTATTTATTTTGATAATGCTGCTTGGGTTTATTGCCAGTGGGTTCTTACACACATACTTTTAAAGCATCTGTATGTATGTCAGCGCTTGTACTCTCGAAAGTGTAAGTGTGGTTGTGTGTATGGCAATGAAGTGTTGGGAGCAAGTCGAGCGCATAACAATATCAATAACTACAACAATAAAAGCAGCTTAAGTTGATTTGCCGCCAGAGGCAAGAAAATACGAGAGGATCAAGTCACATCAAGGCAAATAAACACTAACAAACACACACGCTTGTTAGTGGCTGTGTCGTTGTGGAGGCGTATAAATCTGTTATTGTTTTTGTAAGAAAAAAAAGTATTTCTGGTATGCTTACGCTTATGGCAAAACTGGCGGAGGCGGCGAAGGAGGTGTTCATAAGTTGTCTGTAACTGCCTGAGGTTGGCTTTGCGCCTTCGCTTCTGCTTCAAATGCCACTTTTTGATTTTTTCTTTTGCGCTCGCCACCTTTTCACAACTTCGCGCAGCTGACTATTCGTTATAAACAAAACTATAATTCAAGCATGATTTCCTTTATGTCCGCGCACACACACACACAAACACACAAAACGTGAAAATATTTTTCACGCAACTCGGCGGTTGCCAAAATATGAAAGAAACAACAATAAAACACAAATAAAATGAATGAGGGAGCAGTAAAAAGAATTCGCAGAAGCAAAAAGAAAGCAAAAAAAATGTTGTTCGATATTTTTTTCGCTTTTTAAATTTTATTTTATTTTTATATTTCATCGCGTGAAAGCGCTCATGCTCGAAAAACAAAGTGTGCAATTGTGAATAAACAAAAAACGCAAATACCGGAAAAAGTGCGGCAAAGCGTCCGCCGACCGTCGAACGGCGCGCGCCAACCTCACAGCCAGAACAACAAAGCGAGGTAGAGGAAGCGAAACCACGCGTTAAGTGAAAACACCTAAGCTCTTCAAAGTCTACTCAATGTCTGTTGCGTTTTTGCTTTTTCATTACTTTTATTTGGTTTGCTTATTTTAGTGTTTTTTCTGCGCTTCCACTCACATTTGTTTGTCAACTTGTGCGCCACGCTTTGACGCCTGTAAGTATGCCAAGTTTTTGCAACAATTTTTCATGCAGCTTTTCCCGCTTTCTAAACTTAATCACCCACACATGCGCAAAAAAATCTTTGTTTGCACACACACACATACCGGCGTTGTAACGTTGTGTGCAACACACACGCACATACAGATGACTGTAAGCCAGCAGTTAAGGCACTTATTACTTGACTGCCAGTTTCACTTGCTTGCTGGCTTTTGTGGGCTTTAACACAGCTTTGCATGTTCACAGGCGCTATTTCATGCTCATAAAAACAACAACAAATAGCGGTGATGATATAGACTCCAAGCGTTTACATACGTTTGTAATAAGGTATGGAAAACACTTGGCAATGTCGACACCTTTACATATATTTACAAACGTTATGTATTAAGGCGGGCCAAAGACTACCTATTGAATTTATGAGTTAAAATGTACTTATATATAGAAAAACATATCACTGCAAATCAAAAATGTTTGGCTTAATGTTAAAAGGTGTCGGTGAGTATACAAAGTTTCTCACATAATTAACATGTAGAAAAAATTGTTTCATTCAAAAAAATATAAGTATTATACCGTTTATAATAAAATTTGAATTTTTTATAAATACATCATTAAATTTCCTAAAAAAAAGCTGTCTCAAAGGAAAATATTTTCATTCAAATATTCGCATATTTAAAAGCTTTTAAAATTAAGCTCAACATTTTTTCTTTTCAGCAATACTTTTTCTCTGTTATAGTTCAATTTAACCCATGAGTTCGATAGGTTAGTTTTCGGCTCACCCTAATATACCATATAGGTATGTGGAAATGGTCTCAGTTGTGGTTGTGTAAAAACGAATATCCTGTCTTTTGGCGGACTATGCGAGATTAACCATCAACAGTAGATGAGCGAAATGGCTTTGCAAGAAAATTTGCTGAGAAAATCATACAAATTTGTGAGCTGTACAGAGCTAAAGCATTTACTTCATTTAATTAAAATTTAAAGGAATGCGCAATAGAGAAAGAACTATGAAAGCGGAAATGGATTTTCGAAAAATATTAAAATATGGCTTAACTCTTCGGAAAGTAAAAATATTAGTGTTATTTAAAAGCAAAATCTGAACACAAAAAGTCATAATAATTAATAATCAAAATACACAAGTTACAGATTAAAATTTCAAGAAATAGAGAATGATGTTTAAAGATTTAAAGATTAAAAGTTAAAGGTTAAATAATAAGGACTAACAAATTAAGACTAAAGATTAAATATTAACGATATTTATTTAAGATCAACAGTTAAAGACTAAAGATTAAAAACAGCTAAAGACTAAAGATTAAAAACTAATGACTAAAGAATAAAAATTAAAAATTACAAAATAAAAATTAAATTTTAAAGATTAAAATTAAAGTTTAAGGATGTAAGATGAAAGCTTAAAGCTTAAAAATTAAAGTTGAAAGATTAAAGATTAAAGACTAAAGATTATATAATAACGACTAACGATTATAGATTAAATATTAACGTTATTTATTTAAGATTCAAAGTTAAAGACTAAAGATTAAAACTGACAAAATAAAGATTAAATTTTAAAGATTAAAATTAAAGATTAAAAATACAGTATTAAAGGATTAAGCTTAAAAATTAAAGATTAAAGACCAAAGAGTAAAGGTAAAACTTAAAGGTTAAGGACTAAAGGTTAAAGTTTAAAGATTAAAGATTAAAATTAAAGACTAAAGATTAATGATTAAAGGCAAAAAATCAAATATTAAAGATTAAAGAATAAACAATAAATATTAAAGATCAAAGACAAAAGACGAAATATTAAAACTTTAATATTAAATGCTAAATTTAAATATTGATGATTAAAAATGAAGGATTAAAATTTAAAGCAAATTGATAAAATATTAATGACTAAATATTAATATTACAGATAAAAGATTATATATTAAATATTTAAATTTAAGAAGAAATATTGAAAATTTCTAATCAAAGATTAAATCATAAAAAATATAAAAGGAAAGTCAAGTATTTAAAATTTACAAATTATTAAAAAAAAAAATAATTATTCCCATGAAAGCAAAACCAAAAAATGTTCCTCGTGAAATATATTGAAAACATTTAAAAAACATAAGCTCAATAGCAAGCAATGGATACAGAACATAATACATTTTTAAATAAATCGGTTTTATACAAAAAATAGTTTCACTTGTTAAAAATTAAAAA